CATCTTCCAACCAAGTCCAATAAACAGATTCTTTGATACCATCTCCTAAAATTGGTTCGCCACTGATGAGATTTGAGTTATGTCCTAGTTCTGGCTCTGATTAGTTCTCAACTCTGAAAAGTTGCTCCTTCTAGGCCTCAGTTTTTCTCACCTCTAAAAATGTTTGGACTAGGTCAGAGGTTGGTGACCAGGGCCTAGGAGCCAAATGCACTCTGCTACCTGTTTTTGTAAATAAACTTTTGTTTATAGCTGCATTGTGCCATAGCAGCAGAGTTGAGTAGTGACAGAGGCTCTGTGGCCTACAAAGCCTAAAGGATTTACTATCTGGCAGAAAAAGTTTACTGACCCCTGTTCTACAGGGTCTTCCTTTTAGTTTCCATCTCTGTTAGCCAGCCTGGGGAGAACCTGGTTTTAAGATTTAAAAAAATAATAAGAAAAAGAATAGAGAAATGATTATAGTAGTTGAATATTTGGCAAGAGAAATTAAACATAGAAAATCCTAGGACATTAGAATCTTTGTTTCCGCATCTAATGGTCTTAGACATTCAAGATCATGTGGCTGTAACAAAGGGATAAAAAGATCTCCATTGCTGCTTCATGATGACAGTAAGGCATTTGGTTAATTGCTTTTAAATGTTTGATAGTGTACAAATCAGTATTCCGTTTACTGGTTAGTACCTAGCTTCTTAAAAGTCACAAATATACATATTTTGAAGGTAGAGGACACAGTCAATTAGAATTAAAATTAATAGTGATATCATTTTTATATATATTATATATAATTATAATAGATATATAATTTGTATCACTGTCAAAGCAGATTATTTCCCATTTTAATAAAAGATTTTCTACATGTACACACTGTATATTAAAGGAAGATTCCAAGTATGTAAAAAATGCTTAAATGTCATAAATATTAAACTTAATGATATATATGCTGACATGTAGTAATGTCTGCAACTGACTTTGAAATGTATCCAAAAAATAAGGTGGATTGATGTATGGATAGATGGATGGAAATGTGACGAACCAAACGTAGTAAAACATAAATCATGTTTTTTAGGTAGTTGTTATAAAGGAGAGGGTTTTTACTTTAAAAAAAAAGTGCAACTTTTCTCTATGTTTGAAATTTTTCATTGTAAAATTTTGGGTAAAGGTTTAGATGTGAGTGGCTGTGAGATAGGAATTTAGGGAGAAGGTACGGGAGTGAAAGCACACATAATACATAATATACCTTCTTGCTTTCACATTAAATAAATTATTAAAAGTTTTTCATATGTTAAGCAAACCTTGTGTATAGTGCATATATTTCTCAGCTGTTTTATTGTATTTCACAGATTTACTTCAATTGGGAATATCCTTCTACTGGGAATACTCTTAGGATATAATAAAAAAAATAAGAATAATAATATTCACTTCAAGGAGTGTCCTGCCTTTTTATTATTATACAGTTTGTAGCTTAAATTATCTCACATAGCCCCTGTCAGAAAGTTAAATGGCTGATAAGTGCATGTGATCTCTGTCCATATAGTAAAAGGATGCATTTACTGGGGCGCCTGGGTGGCTCAGTGGGTTAAAGCCTCTGCCTTCTGCTCGGGTCATGATCCCAGGGTCCTGGGATCGAGCCCCACGTCAGGCTCTCTGCTCATCAGGGAACCTGCTTCCTCCTCTTTCTCTGCCTGCCTCTCTGCCTACTTGTGATCTCTGTCAAATAAATTTTAAAAATATATATATATATATATTTTAAAAAAGGATGCATTTACTAATGGACATCATACAATTCTCATTTTTTAGCATTCTTACCAACTTGTGGGAAGTTTTGACTGTGTCCTGTGTTAACAAAATACTGAATAAATGGAGACTGCACAGGAAATACTCATTGATTCAGAAGTGGGCATTCCTTAATTGTTGATTGTGATGTATATCATAATGCCAAAATATGTTAAAATGTGTTCAGTGTAAAGCACAAAAATAAAGCAAATATCTTTGTAATTATCACTCATGTTAAGAATTAGAAGAATTACTTATGCCCCATCCCAGTCACAGTCTCTCTTACATCTTCCTGTTAAGCTGAATAATCTATACTTAATTTTTCTAATGAATATTCCCATGTTTTTTATTAGTTTTACAGTTTTACTATGTATACTAAAATATAGTTTAGTCGTGCCTATGTTTAAGCTTTATATAAGGCACTCTTATGGTATGTTTTCATTGTTGAGTGAAAACTCACCATTTTGTGAGATTCATCAGAAGGTATGTGTAGCTCTGCTTCATTCATTTTCATTATTAGTGTACCACTGTATGACTATACTACTGTTTATATACTAATTCTACTTTTGGATTTTTGCTTGTGCCTGTGGTATTTTATTATGAACAGTATTGCTTTGGGTGTATAAAAAGTTTCTCTAGGCTAGAGTATAACCTTAAAATGGAATTACTAAGTTGTAGGGTCATTGAAGGTATGCATTATGTACTTATTTATTCATGTCATTGCTGTTGGGTCTTTTTGTTCAGCAGTTAGAAGAATCCAGTGGGGTTGCATTTGGGGGGCAGAATTATTGATTAGCTCACTCTGCCTTTTTCACTCCTCCCTGCTTTGCCAGTACATATACACACACACAGACATAGAGACACAGATGCACACACACATAACCTTCATCAAGGGGTAAAATAGGATATAAGTGTTTGCTTTATTATTTAAGAACAAAAATTAAGATTCCTTTTTAGCCTTCATATTTTAAGTGTGAATAGTTCCTGACTTACAAGTATTTGATATCTACAGCTGCAAAGGCCAGAGACTTTCCTTCCCAGTACTAAATAACACCTTGCTCCTCTTTAAAAAGCTGGACTTCTGCTACAAGGAAGGGAGGATATATAACTAGATATGTGTTTCCAGTGCCCAAAAATAAGCTCTCCACAGAATAATGTATTATAATTTAGATTATTTTTATGCATTTTTTTTCTTTTCAATAACATCAGGGGTTTGCTCAGAAATTATCTTTTAGGAATTAAAGGTCAGTTTTTAGTTAACTGGATTTCTTTTGGGCTTATATTGACAAATAATACTGTAGCTCAGAATGTCCTTTCCACTTATCTTACTTAAACTTTATGCACTCAGATATTTAAATAATTATGAAAGACGTAATTGGCATATAACAAAGTGCATGTTTTTAAAGTATACAGTTTGGGAAGTTTTGACATATGTATGCACACATGAAACTATCAAGATAATGAACATTTTCCTCACCCCCAGTAATTTCCTAGTGCTCTTTGTAATACTTCTCTCCAGCCTTTCACAATCATGGCTTTTCTTTCTGTTGTTGTAGACAAAATTTTCTAGAATTCCCTATGAGTGAAATTATACAGTAGGTACTCTTTTTGGCCTGGTTTCTTTTATTGGGTGTAATTATTTGTAGATTCAGCTATGTTCTTTTTTTGTTACTGAGTAGCATTCCATCATATGGATATACCACCATTTGTTTATTCATTCATCTGTCATGGACATTTGAGTTGTTTCCGCTTTTTGGCACCTGCAAAAAAGATGTTATGCACATTTGTGTAAAAGTTTTTGTATGAACATATGCTTTCATTTCTCTTGGGTAAATACTTAGGAGTGGGAGCGATGGATGTATGGTAAGTATATGTTTAACTTTAACATACTGCCGAAGTGTTTTCTAAGGTGCCATACAGTTTTACATTTCCACTAGCAGTGGATGAGAGCCTCAATTGCTCTGCATCCTCACCAAAACTTGATATACACAATCTTTTTTTTTTTTGTTTTTTGTTTTAACTGGCCTTTCCCTGATGATAATAATGTTGAGTATTTTTTCATGTGCTTATTTACTATGTAAATAAGGGTAAAGTGTCTTTACTTGGGTAAAGTGTCTGGTTGTATCTTTTGCCCATTTTGGGGGGGGGTTGTTTGTCCTTTTGTTTTTGAATTATAGGACTATTTTGTATATTCTAGGTAGAAGTCCTTTGCAGAATGTATGTTTTACAGGCATTTTCTTTCAGTTGGTAGCTTGTCTTTTTATTTTCTTAAGAGTATCTTTTGAAGAACAAAACTCTTAAATCTGGATTAAGTTCTGGTTTTAATGAAGTCTAGAGAATTAGAACAACAACAACAACAAAAAAGCAAAAAAAAACAAAAAAAAAAAAACAAAAAAAACCCCTGCAGTTCTTACTTTGCCCTGATTATTCACTGGTTGCCACCACAAATCAAGTACTTACTACATTACATTCCTTCTATGCCACTATTTTTGAATTGTAAATGGCCAAATATTTTAACAAGTTTGTTTTATACCAGGCTTTAGAATCATAAAGACGAGTAGTGATGTATGTCATCTTTCTCCAAAGTCCTTATTTTTAGTAATTAGTATTTCTTCCCATCATCTGTTTTGTGCAGTTAGTTCTGTATGCTTTCCTCTGTCCAGCCTATACTATGTCTCTAGAGGCAGTGAAGTGCTCAATGTATTTTTACCTTGTATTACAGTTACACTTTTTCCCACACACAAACATCTAAGTTCATTATAACAAAAAATCTCTGGCTCTTTGTATTCTCCATATGTCATCGCATAGTTCCTTATACACAGGGAACAATTCACTAAATATTCATTGATTGAGTGGAATTATTGATGACAGTATCTGAGTAAGGTTCTCCTGATTAATTTATTGATAATAAACCCTTTGGCTATACTTTACTAAATGCAGTAGATGGTTTTTCTTGATAGAACAATGTTTGATTTTTACCTGAATGTTTTTAAGTGATCTTTTTGTATAACCCTGGTTTAACATGATTATCATAAAAGTCTGTGTAGGGTAGTATAGCATAGGATCTATAGTCAGTTAAAAATCTTTTGCAAAGTCTGTTCTGTTTAATGAATGATATATTTCATGACTTTGGAATTCTTTTTTCCAATGAAACCAGTACATTAAAACATAAAGATTGTATTTGAATGTATATAGAAAAATACGGCAATAACTTGGCTTTCTCTGTCTAGGTCCTGGGAACACCAACAAGGGAGCAAATTAGAGAAATGAACCCAAACTACACAGAATTCAAATTCCCTCAAATTAAGGCGCATCCTTGGACTAAGGTGAGTCAAAATGAGTTTTTTTAGCACATTAACCAATAGTTAACTTAAACTTGGGTTTCTCATTGTTCTTAAACTAAACTATTTTGGTACTAGATAGCTGCCTGAGTACAAAGTACATAGCAGTTCTGCATGTAAAGATAGTTGGGTAGTTATACTTTAGTGTTTCAGTGACTATATAGTTTTTGTCCCCACTGATCTTCTGTAGGCAGTTTTCAGCCTGGGTTTTTATTTGTAGGTTGAGGACAGTGTACCTATACCATTAAAATATAGAATTTCATTAGGGATAATATCTTATATATAAATAATGACTGCTTAAAACTCAAAAGTCAGTTTCTTTACACAGAGGTACTTGCTCAATATCATGTAGCATATGAAAACATGTATTTCATATATTTTCTTTATTCTTTTTTGAAGCTGTTTATAGTCCTTATGAAACTATGTGTTTTTCTTCTTTTGTTTGCTTTCCTTTTGGTATTTCCAGAGGGGAATAAAAAGATTTGATCTTATTGGAATATACATTGAAAGCATTGCTATGTTAACGGGATGTCATTAGCCATTGGATAGCCTAACCAATTCTTAGAGCATAGATGGAACCAGTTTGAAGAGCATAAGTACTAATTTACCAAAAAACTTTATTTTTTTTTGCTTTGATGCATGATTGAAATGATTTAAGATAGATTTTATTTAAAAATTTTTTCATTTCAGTTTAACTTGTGACATTAAAGGCAGAAAAAAAAAATCTCATTAGGGCTTATTGCTAGATTGAATCTCTAGCATCCTTACTCTACAGTTTAAGAAACTCTGGTCAAAGATACCAAGTGACTTACTCAAGATTACATAGGTGGCCATGACAAAACCAGGATTAAACTTTTACTCGTGTTTGTGTGTGTTTGTGTGTGTGTGGTGCCAGACTTAAAGTTATACACCATGCACCTCCTCTCATGTTTACTTATATTTCATTATGTATTTTTGTGAGTTAAGAAAGTTCAGCTCTTTTATAGTTAAAGCAGAGATTTTCTATACTTAAAAATGTACATATAACAGTTTGTTTTGAGCAGGGATAGGTTTATTTAATTGGTTATAGACCTTTTATAATAAGCGGTGACATAATTTAGAGCTACAAATGAAATAATTTATATTCCCAGATTCAAAGTATGTCTTTTTCTTTCTCTAAATTGTATTATGATTCTAGTTACTTTCCTTCAAGTTCTCACAATCTTATCTCTCTTCGTTGCAGAAGATCTTTTTACTACTAATTACTTATTTAGATCAGAATTTGGTATTGGTATTTTAGTGCCAGAATTAGAGGTTAGCTTTCACTGACCATGATGTTGCCTTCCCTGCCACACTTAAAAATTTATAGTAAACACTGAATGTTCTGAGATAAACCATTCTTTGATCTTTACACCTAAAGTTTATTTTGGATCTTGGTCAGAAGATATTAGGGGTCTCTCACCTTGCTCTTAACTCAGAGAGTCCTAGGTGACCTAAAGGGATTTAAAGGCTGAGTTGCAGTTTGAATCCAGTGAATTTATTATTAAAGTGTTTACAAGTGATTTGTAGTATACTATGATTTCAGTCATGTTAAAGAAAAAACAAAGTTCTGTATAATGAATAAATCCAGGGAAATATTCCAAAATGCTAACGGTAGTTTGGTTGAGAAAAGTGTAGGTGATTTTATTTTCTTTGTTTTGCTTTTCCGTATTTTCATTAATAAGCAAGTCATTTTTATGAAAAAAGAAAAATAAAGCTCTTTTTGGTGTAATCTAAGTATTCCTCACATGCCACCCTTGATATAGAGTATCTGACCAATATAATGCTGAAGTTGAGGTCATGAAATTTTATTTAACAGTCCCTATCACTTTTTTTTAATCAAGACTGCTACCAATATTAGTATGTGGCATATTCGGCATTTCTTCCCCCTTCCCCCCTCGGATTATATCTTTTCAAGTATTAGCCAGGATGGAATGTGAGGAATGGTAGATTATAATTAAAGAGTAATCAACAGAAGGTGTGTGGTCGGTTTGTCTACTTTACATCTTCCTTTGCTCATGTGGATTCCTGATGTTTTATATCTTACACTAATGCTCTTTAAACTTGAATAATCTATACAAATCCCTTTTATTTGTTTGTTTTATTTAGGCTTCCATTCCTATTTCATGTGTAGGATGATGTCTCCATTCTCCCACCTATTTTGTCTGTTGAAAGTACTGTGAACTCTCCATTTATATAGTGTGCCTTGACATAATTTGATTTTATTATGTAATAAGCACACTTGTATTAATTTCTCATTGGTGTACACAACTAGATTGATGTTTTTATGGTTGTAAACACAAAACCAAATTCAGACAAAAATTCCATGGCACTGTTCTGTCATCTGGATGAATCCAAATGATCCAAAATATGCTAATATTTGATTTTCAAAATAGGTTATTATCAAAATGAAAGACAAAATTTTAAATTTCTAGAAGGAACACAATCCCTTCTCCCCTCTGTTATGATCGTGGACACCAACTTGAGAAGTACTCTGTTATGTTAGGCAGCCAATAAAGTTTTGTGGTTTTGTGTTTTTTTTTTGTTTCTTTTTAAGAAATGCATAATATTGTTCTCTAAAGAAAAGAGCTTGTTGCTCTTTGAGAGCAGGTAAACAAAGTCTGGAAACAAAAGCTATTTTGCCTTTATTTTGGTCTTCTGATAGAATCCACTTTAGCCCTATTTCCTAAAGCTGTAGACATGTGAACCCTGCTTTTCTGTGCTGCAGTGTAATACAGCTATATCCCTAAGGATTGGAAGCTGGTGTACTAAAAACGTAGACAGCCATAAAGATCAAGAGAGAAAATACCTTCCATGGAAACACTGAGGTGAAGGGATTTAGATGTTTAGGAAAAATAGCAAACAGAAGAGCTTAACCATTGAGATGAACCATACTATGTCAAGAATCTTGAGAATTTAGAAATCCAGTAAGTTGCCCTTAGCTAGTATTTAATAGCCAGAGTAACCTAATTCATTGTTATATCATTTATGTTTTAAGTAGGAAAGGAAATTGGTGCTAATGTTTTGAAACAGGGACCATTACTGGATTGAGGACAGAAGGATAAAGACCTCCTGCATTGGTGTACACTATAAAGAATAAAAAGCCAGATAGAGAGCGAAACAAATGATACCAAGGAAATTTGAGAATTAAATAGAGATGGAGGTTCATTAGCAGGAGGGGAAGCTTAAATTCTGCATTTAGTATAAGGAGGTACGATTAAATGACAGTCTGGTTAGGTATGAAATGAGAATCTAGTTTGAGTACTGCTTCTACTCTGCGTGCCTCAAATTTTTTCTTTTGTAAATAGCAATTAGCTATTGTGTTTTCTGATTCTTTTGAAAATAGTAATATGCTGTTTTCAACCTTTCAATCAATTTCCCTTATTTAAAATAAAGGAATATTTTATTATTTTATTTCTAAATAAATATAAAGATCCTACCTCCATTATAGTTCTTTGATTTGTCCTCTTTATCGCCACTTCCCTAACTTTAGGCCATCATTGTATCATAGAATTTGTTAAAACAACCTCCTAACCAGTTTCCCTTTTTCAGTTTCATATCCTTTATAGTCCTCATTGCTCTCAAAGTTAGTTTTCTTAAAAGCACATGTGATACTATCACTCCTACTTAAAAATCTTCTTTGTTTACTTATTGCCTTTAGGAAAATCTGACATAATATGCAATAAGGACAAGGATGATCATATGTCCCACTTTATGCTTGTTCAGAGTAATTGTTAATTGAATGCCCCTTCATTCTCAAAAATATCTCATTTTGGATGACATATTATATAGTCATTGTGTCACTTATTGTTTCTATCTTTTCTTTCCAGAGAAACAGGAGATTTATTCTTGTCCTGTTCCTCACCTTCCTAACCTTTGATTGTTCCCCAGAGAAGCCATATATGTTTCTATCTCTTTTACTAATGTCTTCTTTTCACACTTAAAGTGATCTTCTTCTCTGCTTACCAAATCTTAACCTTTTCTCAAGACCTCAAATCTTAGTTCTTCATGAAATATTTTCTAATTATCTGAGCTCTCCATGATTAATTCCCACAGATAACTCTTACAATACCTTCCAAGTCATGCCACATGTATTACAGCATTTCCTAATTCTTTTTCATAGTGGTAATAATGGGATGGAGTGTCAGTTAACTTCAAAATGTTTGTTACTAAGTTTTTGGCATACACAATAAGTTTATTTAATAGCTAAATGTCTATGGGATATGTGAAACCATGGGTTATTATTTAAGTATCCTAGAAACCAGTATCCACAAGCCAGTCCTTACATACCCAATTTCTTAGAACACTGTCCACATACTTGAAAAATGAATGAATTTAGTACTATTTACAACTAGCTAAGAGAAATTAGAAAATTGAGGTTGAGATCATTTCAGTTGTTAAGGTACCAGACTAGACTGGACAGATTATGTTTATTATTCTCTGTGTTTAAAACTAAACATAAAACTGTGCTATACTTATGTATTTTTTCCTACTAATTTTTTAAGACTTTCTTTATAATCTTACCTTTTTTTCTGAGCCTTTTGAGTACAAGATTTTTCACTTGGTAAACTTTCTGTTTCAATTATACATATTTATAGTTTAAAAAATGCCTTCAGGGCAGCTGGTGGCTCAGTCGGTTGATCTTGGTGATCTCATGGGTTGTAAGATAGAGCCCTGGATTGAACTCCATGCTCAGCAGGGAATCTGTTTGAAGATTCTCTTTCTCTCAAATAAATAAGTCTTTAAAAACTTTTTTTTTTTTTTTTTTTTAAATATGCCTTTGGAGGGGTCGAGAGAGCACAAAACAAAAATTGTCAGACTTCTTTTTTGTGGGCAAACTCGATGAGCCTTTTCTGGTTTTGCTTACATGTACTTCAGAAAGCATAAAACTATGTTGGGACTTCTACTGGTTCCCAAGATTGTACTCATCTGTTTTGTTCCATTGCTTAGGTAAATTAGTTTCTATATTATACTTAACTTACCTTTGCCCTGAACATTCTACTAATCCGTTATCACTTGTCTCGTTAAATACACTATATTCTGTAATGAATTTTCCACCTACATCTTTATTAGTGTTAGAATAATCACTTTTCCTTGTCTAACATTTATTTTCCTATGTGAGTAGGTTTCCTCACTTTTCTAGTTGTACTGGCTACACTCCCCATTTCTTTGCTGGAAACTATGCACTTTAAAATCTAGCCACTAGGGTGGCTAATCCCCATGTAAGAAAAATAATGTGAAAAAGAATTCAGTGAGTAAAAAAGAATGCTTAGGCATAAGTTTCCAGATCACTTGTGAAAGGCAGAGGGATGGGTTTGGGGGTGGATTAAAAAAGCGAAAAAAAAAAAAAAAAAAAAAAAAAACGAAAGTCTGCTTTTAATATATCATTTGTTTCTTAAAACCAGTATCTCCTATGTACCCAGCACTGTGCCAGAAACTCAGATACTATAAAGGATGCAGAAGAAGTACACTATATAGCCCTTGTTTTTGAAAAGCTTACAGGTGATATAACTGACTTAGTCGAAGCAAGTATTCAGTAATATAACATATAACCATATACTTGGTTGTGTGCTATAGGTGTTCAAAAGTGTTTCACATGCTGTAGGTGTAAGTCAGATCTCCAGCGGGGGTGGTGGAGTTAAAAGTGAAGAAGGACTAGGTGGGGTGGGATGTTGAAAGAGGATTTAGATTTGCTTAGATGTTGGTAAGGTCAGGAATTGTTGTAGCCCAGGGGATTGTCCCTTAAGATGAGGAGATGTGGGTGAAAGAAAATGTTCTACTTTCCTAAGAAGGTCAGTCTGACTATAAGAGATTAAATTGAGTAACTGGACATTGGTAAATCATACTTTTATGTAAGCCTGCATATTGTTTTATCAGTGAATGAAGTCATAGGAAAAAATTACATTGCATAGTTAAATGTTGATATCAACACATGTATTATTTATGTGTAATAGAGCTCAGAAAAACTCAGTAAGCCTTTTAATAAGTACAGGTGAAATTTATTAAATGCTGGCTCTGTTGTGACTAAGGAAGGGATGTTTGTGCTTCTTATGAATTATGTACCATATATCAGCTCTTTAGTAGACTTAAGTTCTTTCTGTATCTACTTAATCTGGGTAATTAACATAACTATTCAACAAATCCATGGCATCATCTCACTTTTAATCCTTATTAGGTCTACAAATTGCAAATAATTTTAGATGATTAATTACTTGAGAGCCAGCATTGGGGTTACTCCTTAGGAGTTCATGGTTTATCAGTTTTTAACATTGGGTGCTTGTGTGTTTTGTGTATAACCAGAGAACAGTGTCTGGGTTGTACATTTATCACAGTGAAATCTAGGGAGAAGGAGCTGTTCCGAATAGGCACAGCACTTGTTCTGTGTTTTGCGTAGATTATCGTTGCCCATAGGCATTTTTACATTGCTCTGGTTGGCTGTTTAATACAGTAGAATTGTTGAGAGCTGATGCTGTGACAATCAGCTGTAGGCCTTGATACTGTATATATGACTACTTATAAATGGTAATTTTAAAAGGCCTAAGATTCATTCGTAACAGTTAGCTCCAGATGGAAATTTGATATTTGATAGCTAAAGTCTATCCTAGGCCATGTAAGGGAAAAATTGCCTCTGTCATTTTTGAGTTATCCAAATGCAAATTTATTTTGAGTAATTCTTCATTTAAGGACTCATTTGCATTTGTTCAATACCATAGAGACTTTCTTTTTGAAAAATGAATTGTTTCTGTTAGTTTCTTTTATGGACTAGTATTTGTGGTGACAGTTTGTTTCAATATAAGAAAATGAGTTGCTGCACAGGTGAGGTAGTATTTGAATCACTTAAAAGTTCATGTCAGTGTTTTGGTTCTTTTCAATTTTTCCTTTCTGTTCTCTTCCTTTCTTTTGTTTATTTATTTATTTTTTGCTTTGTTCTGTTTATTTTTATTTATTTACTTTTGTTTTTAGTTTTTACAGAGGGTGTTTTGGGCTCTTCATGGCCTTGCTAACATACTTGGCTGGCCATATTTAGTCTGCGCACTAACTGTTAGTTGGCCCAGTTGAGTCTTACTTTGTGCTCTCAGTTTTTTTAGTCTCGCTTTCTATTTTTGTCCACCTGATTGTGTTTTAGTTCATGAGAGATTTTAATTCTGATGGGCCGGATTTTAATCCGTGTACTAAATTTTAGTCTGCAGACTAAAAGTAATCCGCGGATTATTTATTTTTGCAAAATATTAATTCCCCCACTGGAAACTATCCTAAAAGAATGTTAAATTCTCTTAGAATAGCCAAGGGAATTCACAGCTACTGGTGAGTTCTGCCATTTTTTTGTTCTCAATACCTAGACATAATAGATCCTACTACCTCCCTTGCATATTTGGCTCCGTTGTGCCTAGGTGTTGGTGTACATTACTATGCATGTCACCTATAACTGTGACTGTCCCTTAGTTGTATTGTTTATTGTATATATTTTTTGTTTAGCTTTTGGTGGGTGAATTGGGCATAACTGCACATGGAACTGTGTTGAATTTGTAGTGCTCAAAGATGTAGGATTTTTTTTTCAGTGAGTTTTTCCAAAAAGGAAAGAATGTTCTATATTTATTTTAACTAAGTAATGGGTGCAAGGGTATGAGGGGGCAAAGCCCACAATAGAAAAAGTAAGTTATACCCGCACTCCTGAGGTGATATGTCAATTGCCTGAAGAATCCTAAAATAATGAGAATGTCAGCAAACATCTTTTAGCAGGGAAGTCAATCCAAAATGGAGAATAATCCGCGGTGGCCTGATCCTTCTTAGCTCACACAAATTGAAAATATCTGGCTTGAAATCTGTAGTAATATAAATTAAATCTATTTATTATTTCCTCTCATCACTAATAATTAAGCAAAAAATGTTTATACTGTCTAACTGGAATACATTAATAGATAAAAATTAGCATATTGGGAATTGATGTCTTTAAAAGCAGGCTAATATGCCCCCTCCCAGCCATGTCAATGGATGATGAATCCAGGTCGTAGAAGACCAAACACTTTACTTTGGGAAGTTTACTTCTAGATTTAATTTTGATTTTAACTTTTTTTGGTTTTGTATTTTTTTAATAAACGCACTGGCATTGGAACATAATAAAATTAAAATGTTTCTTTATTGTGCCTCACCATTGCGCAATCAAATTTTTTTGCATACACTGTGGTGAAATAATTTTTAAAACTTGGACTTGCTACTGTGGAGACTGATGTTTAAAGTTTATAACTGTATAAACATTTTCTATGTCCCCCCCCCCCACACCATGGATTTCTTATAACACTGGATATATTTTTCCTTGCTGGACTATTCTCTTTTGGATTGACTTCCCCTGTTTGGATTATTTCACTGCATTATCATCTTTAGGATTCGTCAGGAACAGGACATTTCACCTCAGGAGTGCGGGTATGTACTTAATTTTTTTTTTCCCCAAAATTTCAGGGCAGGTCTATAAAACTAGGGGGAAAACTTTTTTTAAAAAGGGCAAACCATTATTCATTCTAGAAATGTAAAAGTAAAAACAATGTAGTATAGCTGTGATTTTTTTTTTTTTTCCATCCACTGTGTGAGATAGGTTTTACTTATGGTATATTTAGATGGTCAGTCTCCTGAGTGATTTATTTACATCTAGAAGTAAGGAACTTTGGGGTTTAAAAATTATTTTTACAAGAATAAATATTAACAAAGATGCATAGAACTAAAGGTTCTGAGTGTTAAACAATTTAAATGAGTAAGGAATAAAATGGCATCAGAAGCTTCGTTATTAAAAGCCATATTTCAGTTGTTACTGGTTTCCTTCTCTTTAAATGCAAAGATAATTCAGAAGAGCTATTTTCTAGTTTGGCCTGAAATTTTTTGAAGTTGCATGGTTCCACACCCTATATTATGATCACAAATCTGAACTTTGGAAGACTCTGGGCTTTGACTCCCCATAATTTCCCAGTTAACCTTTATCCATAGAGTACTAAACCAAGGTTTCACTCATCAGAAATTTCTCAAAGGGTTTAAAATAATAATGGATTCTTTTTAAAGGGCAGATTAAGTCTTGATTTTAATGTGGCCTCTTAGAATGAAGTCTTCTTCATTATTTTTAACTCTTTGATTCCATGAGTTAGAATTCCCTGGCAAAATTGACTAATAGGTGTCTTAGTATCAACATGGATGGTTGCTTGTAGTCAGTAGGATACCAAATGAATGTGGATGATTTTTTTAAATAATTAGAGATAAGTTTATAATGCTAGTTTATTAATAACTTTAATGCAAAATCCTCATTAATGTAACATGAAATTTCTTCACTTAAAATACATTCACTGTTCAGCTACCCTACATTTGAATGTTGGCAGGAGATATTTCTACTTTTGGTGGTACTTTTAATTCTACTTATACAGTCCCATATTGGTGCAAAAGCATTTTCCCTTAGACTAGCTAGCAAAATAAATCCACATGCTGTGAAATAAATACAAACAGCTCTCTGGGATAAAATAATGTCAGTAATGCTTAATATTTTTGTGAAAAATTTTCAGAGTTTTCCCACTGATTATTTTCTTTTACATTCGGAATTTGATTATATGGACCTGGCTAGGAAGCAAGAGAGGGAAAAATGACCAAGAACAGTGGAAGATCTAAACATTTCAAATAATACAATACCTTTAAGGTTTCCTTGACTGAGGTGAGTCAGATCACTCAAAAGAATAAAGATAAAGCAATTTTTGATCATACAGAGGGTTTTCTAATATAGCCAAATAAGTCCTTTGATGTTCAGAAATAAATTCCTAGGATCCTATTCAAACCAATTTCTCAATTTCCATGGAAAATATTAGTAATAAACTTTGTGTAAAAACAAAAGAAAAATAAGGTTTTCACTTTAAGAAAGTACTCTTCTATTGTCTCTTGAAAAGTAAGCTCTATAGTAGTAACTAGTTCGGCTACCTTCATCCTAAGTGATAGTCAGATGTTACGTGAGCCATTCTCGTTAGGAAACCTTACTCCCAGGCTCCTCCATCCTCCCAATCTACATGTCCTTCCCTCACTATTTCCCTCCCTTTATATACATCTGCCTCTCTTTATATGTCTACTACCACATCTTCTGTTTGATTGTTTTTCCCCCATCAAGGGATATAGATTTCATTTTTCTTTAGTTTCAGAGGCTTCCTGTCCATCTACTTATGTTTATTTCTGTTATCCCCTTTCTGCTTTTATTCTTCAGCTGTCCATAATTTAAAACAAAGTTATTTTCGTAGTTTTATATATCAATTTGGAGTTTTAAGACATAGATGTGTAGAAAGCTTTCTGTTTTGTTTTTTTTTTTTTTAGAAACTAATTTATTTGCTTTTTGCTTAAACATAGCCTTCAATTGACTTTTTCTGACACAATGGCTCTTAATGAAATATTTGTACTAACGAAAAGTACATTTCTTTCTCCCTAATTAAGACCCTACGGCTATTCTTTGAGAAAACAGTTTTAATTCTGGTTGTTCAAGAATTTCTTCAAATCAGATAGATGTCGTTTATTGAAGAGATAATACCAAATCATTAGCATTTCTAGACCTAAGGTAAATAGCTTTCCTTTTTCAGAAAATATTAATGGCCAGATTTGAGTAGTGCTGTCCATTACTGACAATTGTTCTGCAAAAATCACACACAAGAGGCAACCACCACAGTAGTCAAAACTTTTAGAAAATTTTAATATTGTGCTTGCTTCCAGAACCCAGCCCTTTTCTTGTGCCTATCATATTGTATTTTGTGTACATATTTAGTTGTACTGCTTTATGATGAACAAATGTCGATTTTTTTTTTAATTTCCCCTAGTTTTTTCTCTGAGCTTTTGTCATATAGTTTGTAATTAGCTGTTCACCCCAGTGTGGTGAATTATATGCAGTTAATTCTTTTCATTCTAGAAGGTTCCTTTCACAAATGCAGCCATGTTGTATGTGGTGGGAATTAACTCATACTCAAAGGATAATTTGCTACAATTCTTACAATAAAGTATTAATTGTTCTTTGCCTTTTTTTGTGCTGCAGGTCTTCCGACCCCGGACTCCACCGGAGGCAATTGCACTGTGTAGCCGTCTGCTGGAGTATACACCAACTGCCCGATTGACACCACTGGAAGCTTGTGCACATTCATTTTTTGACGAATTAAGGGACCCAAATGTCAAACTACCAAATGGGCGAGACACACCTGCACTCTTCAACTTCACCACTCAAGGTAATTCCAAATACTTAGTTCTATTGTTTACCATTTCTTTTTTTTTTTTTTTTTTAAGATTTTATTTATTTATTTGACAGATCACAAGTAGGCAGAGAGGCAGGCAGAGAGAGGGGGAAGCAGGCTCCCTGCTAAGCAGAGAGCCTGATGCAGGTCTCGATCCCAGGACCCTGAGATCATGACCTGAGCCGAAGGCAGAGACTTAACCCACTGAGCCATCCAGGTGCCTCTGTTTTTAACCATTTCTGAGGAAGCTACATATGTGTGTTAGGTGATATTCTTTTAGTTGAAATCTGTATAGGACTAAAGTGGGCTTATTAAGTACTTATACAGGTAGGAAACATCCTTTTAACCAGTTATTAGGCTACTACTTGTATGGTTTTGAACAACATAGTGGCAGATAAAATTTTTCCAGTAAACATAGCTTCTTTCATTTTTGGCAGATTATAATAAATCTTGGCACATGAGAAATTATAGAGACTAATGTACAATTTAACTTACAAATTTGTGTTTGAAACTTAGAATGTTAGCATTTCTTGCTTCCCAAGGATTTATATCAGATTTTTTTAAACCTGGAAATAAATTTGTGGCTATATTTGTATAAAGTTAGATATCTTATAAACAGAAGGAAAACTGGAATTCTAGAACTCTCTTTCTTAGAAATTATATAAGGGATGTAGATAGAGAAATTCTCTTGCCTTCTGGGGCTTGGCACCATTGATGCTACTGAGAAATGTTGAGGAAAAATGGAGTTTGTGTACTGGTGGCTTCTAGACCAGAAGAATCATTATTTCTTAATCACTTTTGTGTTCACTTTTCTTTCCTCTCTAAGACCCTAAGTGATTCATTTAATCAACTGCACTGCTTTGATGCAGAGATTTTCTCCATAAATGGAACGTTAAAAGTGTACCATTTACTATAGATAAAATAAGCAGTAAATAGTCAATTGATTGATTAGGCAGCTTAGAAAAGCTAGAAATATAAAAGGGAGATGGAGAGCTTTCTGTGACCAAGAAATAGATATATTTCCTTTATTCTAAGATGAATTATCCTCCCATATTTAAACTTTCCTAAAATTCAAAGTGGGAAAATGTATTGCTTAAGCAGTAGATATAGAAGACGTGAGTTGCTAGTAAAATAGACTTGTTTGATTCCATTAACTATAATCTGAAGCAGTCAATAACATGTAACTACTAGCAGTGCTGATGTGGTCTTAAACTGCATTCATAAAGAAAAATTTTCAGATATCCTGGGATTAATTCTGACTACTTAGGGCAGATCAGAAATCATTTGGAATGTTGTTTTAGGTTCTGGCTATGCCATTTTAAGATGTTAATGAATGGCGGGTGGGGTATACAAAGGAACAGAATAGACAGTATATCCTGGAAAAATGAAGACTTAAGGAACTTTTGACAAGGGTCTAAAATACCTCATAGGTTATCTTCTAAAGAAAGGTGTAAACCTATATTCTTTCTCCTGATTATAAAATTGAAAACAGTAGTAGCAGAAAATTAGAGAACAGTACATATTTGAATTTATTCTACAAACCTTGGCCCCTGGCATATCTATCTATATAGATATAGATAAATATATTTATATATAAATAAACATATTATTTATTAATAAAATTATTTATTAATTTAATAAATAAAATTATTGATGAATCAGTGAAGTTTTCACTTATTTAACAATGGAACAGGTTTGTTTGTTTTCTAAAATACCAAATTTTATATCAGAAAAAAGCTGGATGATGTCAAAAGTTATAAATAGGATTATTACAATTTGGCTATAGGATAGACTCTTCTAGAGCAAAGATTCTATGATTTTGTGTCATTAAGAAAGTAAGTTTCATTTTCAATTGTTACAGCTTTGTTTTAATCAAGAGTAGTATATACACATTGAGGATAATGTTGAAAATGCAAAAGAAGTATAGAGAAAATTAAAATCACAGTCCCTAAATAATCACTTTTAGCATCCAAATTAATCACTATAAGATTTTGTGGTGTAGCTCTTCTCAGTCTTTTCTCTAATGCATATACTGATAATCCTTGGATATAAGGTGATACTGTGCTCTCCCATTAAGAATATCCCAAATAGGGTGCCTGGGTGGCTCAGTGGGTTAAGCCTCTGCCTTCGGCTCAGGTCATGATCTCAGGGTCCTGGGATCAAGTTCCCAGTCCGGCTCTCTGCTCGGCAGGGAGCCTGCTTCCTCATCTCTCTCTCTGCCTGCCTCTCTGCCTACTCGTGATCTCTCTCTGTCAAATAAATAAAAATAAATTCTTAAAAAAAAAAAAAAAAAAGAATATCCCAAAAAGATTTCTTCTGGTTAACGCAAATGTATTTAAAATTATGCATTGTATAAAATTAAATTTATTCAGGAACTTTACTTTTGTACTTCTCAAATTTCATAAAACAATTTCATTAATACTTTAAAAAAAAAAGATTTTATTTATTTATTTAACAGAGCTAAAACAAGTAGGCAGAGCAGCGGGCAGGGAGAGGGAGAAGCAAGCTCCCCGCTGAGCAGAGAGCCCAACGCAGGGCTTGATTCTAGGACCCTGGGATAATGACCTGAGCCGAAGACAGCTGCTTTAACAAACTGGGCCACCCAGGCGCCCCTATTAATACTTTATATATGCGTCTTTTACATCTGTATCTTTGTCATCAGTAGAGCTACATTTTGAACTATCATTAATTTTTTTATATGAAGCAGTTTTTGAATCTATATGAGGCCACCACTGAAAATTCTACAAGTATCCATTTTCCAAGTTTTTTTATTTTGTTTTTGTACTGTAGATAACTGTTTATTATCTGTACATTTAACTATCTGCTCAGTTGCTTTTTAAAGTGGTCTCTAAAATGCTCTGTATACAGTGACATGCAGCACTCACAACTGTGGAATCTTGGCATCAGAAACTAAGTTAATGTTAAATTTGTCTCTCTCTCTCTCTCTTTTTTTTTTTTTTTAAACAAGTTCTGTCAGATGAACTTAAGAGTTCCCAAACCAGCACTGGTTGGGGTTTTATTCACACTAAATATCTTCTCTGATAAGTACTTTTTTTCAAAATACATGGAACAAGGAAGCCTTTTGTCAAATAAGCAACTTGGTAGAACTCTAGACATAATAGATATTTACTATGGATACATTTTGAAGAATAATTTTTCTTATATTCAGACATACTAGGTACATACTCTGTAATGCACCTGTATGTGTTGATCAAAATTGAGATATTATTTAAGCATTTTATTTAATCAGATTTAAAAATCCAGGATTCTGTTTCATTGTTCATATGTACCATTTTTGAAATAACTACATTTGATTCTTTAGTCACTGGCTGATAATTTTTCATTATTACTAAAGAAAATAAAATTTTAAAACAACAAAATTTGTTTTTCTATGAATTTCTAAGCTTTTTTGAAAACAGATAAAATTCATATGACATAAGATGAGCCATTTTAAAGTAAACAGTTCAGTTTATTTAGTATATTCACAGTTTGTACAACTACCACCTCAATCAAGTTCCAGAACATTTTCATTGCTTCCAAAGAAAACTCCGTACCCTTTAAGCAGTCCGTCCCCTTTAACTCCTCCAATCCCTGGCAACCACCAATGTGCTTCCTGCTTCTGGGCTTAACCTATTCTGGATATTTTATATAAATGAAATAATATATTATGTGACATTTTGTATATGGCTTCTTCACTTTGCATAATGTTTTCAAGGTTCATCCATGTCGTAGTAGTGTATTAGTATTTTATTCCTTTTTATGGCTGAATAATATTCCACTGTATTATGTCTTGATCAGTACAGGCTGCTATAACAAAACACTAGAGACTATGTGGCTTAAACAACAAACATTTATTTCTCAGAGTTCTGGAGGCTGGCAAGTTCAAGATCAAGGTGCTAGTAAATTTGATGTCTGATGAGGGCCTACTTCCTGGTTTGCAAACCGGTGCTTTCTTACTGTGTCCTTATGGCAGAAAGAGATTACCTCTCTTGTTTCTCTTACAGGGCCACTAATCCCATTTATGCGGGTTCTACCCTCATGACCTTAATTGCCTCTTAAAGGCCCCATTTCCAAATACTATTACACTGGGGAGTAGGGTGTAAGCATATGAATCTTAGGGAGACACAAACATTCGGTCCATAGTGTATGGATGGATACACAACATTTTTGTTTATCTGTCATCTGTTGATGGATATTTGGTTTGTTTCTACCTTTTGGCTATTGTGAATAGTATTGCTAAGACCATTTGTGTACAAGTATATTTGTTTGAATACTTCATTTGAATTCTTTTGGGTATTGCTGAGTCATGTGGTAATTCTGTGTTTAACTTTTTGAGGAACTGCCAATCTATTTTCCACAGTAGTTTTGCATGTTTTACATTCTCACCAGCAAGGTACAAGAGTTCCAATTTCTTGCCAATACTGTTTTCCCTCCTCCTCTTCTTTTTCTTTTATTGTGCATTGTGGTCCTGAGTTTATTGCAATATAATGAATCATGACCAGGTAAATGCTATTTTCCTATTCTCTAATAAATTATACTCATAAGACAAATGGACATGAAAATAAATTGGCTTAGATTTTAGAATATGGTCTTGAAAATATTACAAAGAATTTTACGAATGGGCAGTTTTCATATTGTAAACTAATAGAATCAGCTAATCTTAACATCTTTAAAAGTCTCTAAAGTTTTTATTAACTTCAACTGTGACACATGCCTTTAAAGTAAAGGCTCAGTTTGAAGAAGAATATTTGGTTTGAGCTTTATTCATACATGTCTGATATATATGTTTTTTAAAAAGTATGAAGATTGTTTTATTTTGACATTTCAAATTGTTATATTTCCCAGAATATCAAACATAACTATGGTTCTCTGTATGTCTGAATTTCCATATATATCTTTGAGGATTTAAAGAATGTGTGTATATTTGGTAATGGTGTGTGTAGATGTAGTATGCAATCTCTATAGCTCCAAGTGTTTCTATGACTGCATATTAG